AAAAGGAAATAGAAACCTTTGTCTTAAACTATTTCCCCTTGGAAACTTGGATTTCTGGATTCTCCAGGAAACATGTATAGAAAAAATAGCCTTATCCTGGAAACCAAAGACCAGGCACAGTGTTTCTGGCTCTGCAGTCAACTGGCTATGGCACCCGGGAAAGCCCCTGGCCTTTCCATGACCAGTCCCTGGACTATGGGGGGTAAATTAGTTGGAATTGAAAGTAAACATCTTTTCCATTTTTCACGTTAGTGGTTTTATCCATGAGAGGTGTTTCGTTAGAAGAATGGGAAATTCGAAGTGGCTCAAGAAAAATAAGTGGAAACTGCTCATGGAGTCATTGGGATTAACGAGGCAGTAACACAAATGTCAACAAAGACTTGTGCCAGGGGTCCTTTAGCTCAAGAGAAAAGCCTAAAGTAGAGGGTGAATCAGTACATTACATCAGTTCAAATCCCCATGTCTGTGGGCTGAAGCACTCATTCCTGGTTCCAAAAGGGGTCCTTTTGACTCAGAGCAGCTACTGCAAACAGATCTCCAGATAGTTCTTTTCTATGAATAATACCTCCCAAGTTTTCCCAGGTTACCATGACACTTTCTGACCAGCAAAGAAGCAGAGAAGCCTCCTGGGTAAGTGGGAGTGCAGTAGTCAAACAGGAGCACAGCTGAGCTGCAGCAGCCAGCAGGGAGGGACGCTCAGTAGAGGTACAAAGACTGTCTTGGATTCTCTGCCATTGCCCAGCTGTGGAAGATGCCGTTATCAGAAACCCAGTAAGGAATGACTTTTCCCCCACAAGAGTATTTCAGTGTCACTCTTTTCACTGTAACATAACTAAGAGCCCCACAGTTAGAGACGGGATACAGAGAACTCAGCTTAGATGGAAACAACTGAACCACTGCACCAAGCAAACAAGAGAGAAAGGAGCCATTCCCTAGTTAATAATTATGATGGAAAGACAGCATGTTGCAGTAAATCTGGGAGAAATCAGCCCTCCCTATTCAATACGGTAACAAAGATGTCATTTTTTAAAAACTTAAAGCAGTAGCATTAGGAGAAATACCTAATGTAGATGACAGGTTGATGGGTGTAGCATATCACCATGGCACGTGTATACCTATGTAAAAAACCTGCATGTTCTGCACTAGAACTTAAAGTATGATATTAAAAAAAAGAACTTACTCATGTAACCAAACACCATCTGTACCCTATGAATCTATAGAAAAATTAAAACTTAAAGCAAATGCCGAAAGAAAAAGAAACTTAGTGTTCTGTTTTAAGAGATCTGATATCCCCAGGATAATCATATGGGACATGGAAAAGAAGACTAGAAGTTCTTCCAAAGCACTTAATACAATTGCAATTAAATAATTATGTGATTCATTGCTTAAGGTCTTTCTTCAGCCCCACTGACTCGTCTACTATATATCCCGCAAATAACACGGGATTTATATATTGTAGGTGCTTTTTCCATACTTTATTTAAAAAGGAAAGAGAGAATTCTGGGATAGGATGAAGAATTTTGAGATAAGATAGAGCTCATCATCTATTACACAGTGATTAAGTAATTCTCATTCCAGAATCTCTGGTTGTTTTGGCTTCCAGATGGGCCTGGTTCCCGCATGTTCCCTGTACTCATCTTTGGAGCATCCAGCTTTAAGCCACCATGGAAACAATCACCTGTAATGGAACAGGGTACTCCTCTACCATCTTCTACCTTATGGGTATCTCCCCTTTGCCCAAATCCCTCTTCCTTCCTATTTTCTTTGTCTTTCTCCTCCTCTACTTGCGCATCCTGATGGGTAATGCATTGGTCCTGGTGGCCGTGGTGGCAGAGCCCAGCCTCCACAAGCCCATGTACTTCTTCCTAATTAAACTCTCTACCTTGGACATTCTTTTCACCACAACCACTGTCCCCAAGATGCTGTCCCTATTCTTGCTTGGGGACCGCTTCCTCCATTTCCCTGCCTGCTTCCCGCAGATGTACCTATTCCACAGCTTCTCCTGCTCGGAAGCCTTCATCCTGGTGGTCATGGCCTATGACGGCTATGTGGGCCTCCCAGTGCACTACCCTGTCCTCATGACCCCACAGACCAGTGCTGTCTTGGCAGCCAGTGCCTGGCTCACTGTGCTCTTCCTGCCCATTCCAGCAGTGGTACAGACCTTCCAGATGGCATTTGACAGCATTGCCCACATCTACAACTACTTCTGTGACCACTTGGCTGTGGTCCAGGCCTCCTGCTCTGACTCTACCCCCCAGACCTTCACGGGCTTCTGCATCGCCATGGTAGTGTCCTTCCTCCCACTCCTCCTGGTGCTTTTCTCCTACGCCCACATCCTGGTCTCAGTGCTTCGCATCAACTCCCAAGAAGGACGCTCCAAAGCCTTCTCCACCTGCGGCTCCCACCTCCTGGTGGTGGGCACCTACTACTCATCCATTGCCATAGCCTATGTGGCCTACAGGGCTGACCTGCCCCTTGACTTCCACATAATGGGCAATGTGGTATATGCCATTCTCACACCCGTTCTCAACCCTCTCATCTACACACTGAGGAACAAGGATATCAAAGCAGCCATCACCAAGATTTCATGTCCCCAGGAGCCAAAGAATGCTAGGAAACCCCGATTCCCAAAAATAACTTAACCTTCTCTCATAAAAATCAATAACATAGAGGGAAAAGTGGAAAATTTAGAAAGCCCAGTACTTAGAACACTCATTCTCAAAATACAGTCCTAGGTAGTCCTTCGTTGTAGTCAAATAATGACTTTTTTCTTAATTCATAGAAAAAAAGAACAAGATCTTTAAATACATTTTTTAAGAAGTGAACCCCAAATTTCACAAGACTGTGAATATAACTGAGGTCACATTACCATTAATTCAAATGGTTTTGGTTCTCAGAGATTCCAAGTATTTGATTCGCAAGAAATTCTCTCTTTTCCCTTGGATCTCTTCTTACAATATTTCTGAAAATCCCTAGCATTGCTGGCCATTAGATGTGAATTATTCTTGCCCTTTTTGTTGAAATAGCAGCTTTGATAGAAATACCTCTCAATGGAAAAACTGAAACTGCTCCCATCTCAATTCTTGTTACTTGAAAATTCACTGTCACCACTGATTTTCAGTGCCAGTCACACAGGAAATTTGTCTCTGCTATCTAGACCTGCATGATGTCCTAAAGGCAGAGCATGCCTCTCACCCAGCTTATGCTCAGGCAAGGGGTGCACACCTGTTTGGGTAAAAAAATTACAGTCTTTTTCTTATAGTTTCCCCACAGTGGCTAAGTAGAGACACTGGGTGGCTGAGTGGAGAAGTTTCTCCTTATCAGAAGTATGCTGTTCCTGTGGCCACCACCCTTTCTTGAAATATGGTCTTAGATATTCCTCTTTCTGGCCCCAGTGGTGAGCCCAGGCTCCTTATTCCCTTCTCCTATGGGAAATTGCCTCTTAAAGACCTGTCAGGTGTGTCCAGTGAAGGAGATGTAGAACAGTGAATAGTGTTAAGGGGGAACACAGGTGACAAACATCCTCATATCTGTCTCTTCACAGATAGTCTCATTTCAATTTTTAGAGTCCCAGTTTTTGTCATTCGAGGCAAACGTTAACCATTTTCTCATTGCATAAGACCCAATGTAAATGGGAACTCAATCGGTGCAATTCAAACAAAGGTTGTGATTTGTTCCTGGACTCAGCTTTCAGTGATCTCAGAGATCCTACTATGGTCAGAAACAGCTTTCTGAAACAGGGTGATATAAAGGCTTTGAGTTTCCTTGTTTACCGACCCTGGGCAGCTGGGATTGGGATTCATGTTATTTTATCTAAATATTACTCATTCTGCAGGACATTTATTTCTCAATCCTTGAAACTGATGTCTAAATGTCAGTGGGACCACATCCTCGAGGTCTAAAAGAGATAGCTTAGTAAGTCTCCTTGCCCCTGAATTCTATGTACTATCAGAATTTAACCTAAGGATGTAGAGAGGAAATTTTTTCACTGTAGACTCCACTACCCCCCAATAAACAATTCCAAAAATACTGCAGTACTACTACCAAAGTTTTGTTTGGGGTTTGTCTGTTCAGAACTTCACTTCTGGTATCAATCTCAGTTTCAGGTCAGGGCTTTGGTTTGCTGTGTCCCCAGATCACGACATCTTTTCATCTTCAGCTCCCCTTCTAGAAGAACAAAGACTTAATCACATGTTAAGTGAATGGTAGTGATATGGAACCCCAGGCTAGTTCTACCCTCAGTCACTATTTCCTGTGGTTTCTCCTAAACATTTATCATGAGTAGACATGAAATCATAACAACAACAGTGTTTTCACTTGTAGCTATACCTGCTAATTCGTAGTCTCTCAGTATTTCCCAACTAAGAAAAAATCGCCTCAACTTTTGTGCATCAAAGGACACTATCAAGAGAGTGAAAAGACAACCCACAGAATGGGAGAAAATATTTGCCGATCACATATCTGATAATAAATTAATATCCAGAATATATAAATAACGCCCATAACAACAACAAATCAAAATGTGCAAAAGACTTGAATGGGCATTTCTCCAAATGATATATATGAATGATCAATAATCACATGAAAAGGTGCGCAACATCACTAGCCATTAGAGAAAACCAAATCAAGACCACTGTGGTTTGCAAATCAAACCACAATGAGATACCAGCACATGCCCCTTAGGATGGCTACTGTAAAATAAGCAAACCAGAAAATAGTAAGTGTTGATAAGGATGTGGAAAAATTGGAACCTTTGTGCATTATTAGAGGGAATAAAATGGTGCAGCTGCTATGGAAAACAATATGGCAGTTCCTCAAGAAATTAGACATAGAAATACCACATGACCCAGCAATTCCACTTCTGGGTATATATCCAAAAGAATTGAAAGCAGAGTCCTGAAGAGATAGTTTTATACCTATGTTCATAGCAGCATTATTCACAAAAGTCAAGAGGTAGAGACAATCTAAATGTCCAATGGCAGATGAATGGGAAAACAAAATGTGGTATATACATTAAATGGAATATTATTTGTACTTGAAAAGGAATGAAATTTTGATACATGCTACAACACAGATGAACCTTAAAGACATTATGCTAAAGGAAATCAGCCAGGCACAACAGGATAATTATTATATTATTTGACAAGGTGCTTAGAATAGTCAAATTCATAGGGACAGACAGTAGAACAATGGTGACTAGGAGCTGAGAGGAGGGGAGAATGGGAAGTTATTGTTTTATAAATACAGAGTTTCTGTTTGGGATGATTACGAGGCTCTGGAAATGGATAGTGGTAATGGCTATCCATTTGTCCAGTGATGGACAACATTGTAAATGTACTTAATGCCACTGAACTTTACATTTAAGAATGGTTAAATGGTAAATATTGTGTTATGTATATTTACCATAATTTGTTTAAAGTTAAATAGTTTCAAGCCATGCCATAGGTCACAGGTCACAGCCTAGGAGTTGGCTGTATTTTGTCAGATACCAGCTCTGGACCAAACTAGCTGTGACCAGAGGGAAATGTACGAGTTCAATCATATGATTTAACAAGAAAGCAGCTAGGGGAGGGAGGATGAGGTGGACTGGGAAGATATCAGTCAGAGGATACAAAATTTCAGCTAAGCAGGAGTAATAAGTTCAAGAAATCTATGGTATAGCATGATGACTATAATTAATAACGATGTATTGTATATTTGAAAATTGAGAAAGAATAGATTTTGTGTTCTCAGGACAAAAAAAAAGTAAGGTTATATACATATTAATTAGTTTGATTTAGCCATTCTGAAATGTATACATATTTCAAGATATCATGTTGTATACCATAAATATATAGTTTTTAATTTTTTTCATATATATATATATTTTTTTTTTAAATAAAAAGAGATGGGGTTTTGCCACATTGCCCAGGCTGGTCTCTAACTCTTGGGCTCAAGTGATCTGCCTGCTTCAGCCCCCTAAAGTGCTAGGATTACAGGTGTGAACCACCAAGCCCAGTCAATGTATACAATTTTTGTTTATTGATTAAAAGAAATCAATTCTCTACAAAAAGAAAGAGTCAGTGGAGCAGTCTGTCTTAAAAAGAAGGGTGAGTGGGAGGGAACTTGAAGCCCTATATACTTGGTGGAGTCTTTTCACCCCTGTGAACCTGAGGGGTGGTTGTGAAGGTGTCCCTAGAAACCTTGGCTCCTCTCCATCCCCACATCCTTGACCCGGTGCAGGTGTCACCATCCGATCTCTTCTGGATGAGCACAGCATTCTCTTCACGATCTCTCTGCTTGTGTGCCCACCTTTCCGTACATAAAGTGGCCACAGGAGGCTTTCTGACACACAGATCTGGTCACATTACCATCCTCCATGTGACTTAAAGACTCTCTGATCCAACCCTGAACCATCTCTTTGGCCTCAAGTCTCGCCATCATCTCTTGCATGGCAATTCTGAATTTATTTTTAGTTTCTCAAATACACCAAGTTCTCATTCTCAGCAGTAGCAAACTCTTCCCTCTTCCTGAAGCACTTTTCCTCCTTGCCCATCTAACTTGCTTACATTTTACTCACTATGTTGTCCAGTGCTGGGAAAAAAAGGCCGATGCGTGACCTGCTTACCTGGCACAGGGTGGGAGTTAATGGAAGACCATGCTCCATGCTCAAAACAAGGAAGACCTCTTTGAAGCACCAGAATGTGGCCAGACTTGCTAGCTCTAGCTACAGCCTTTTTCTTTGTTTACTGATTGTATCTAAAATAGAGCATGCTCCATAACTCCAAAGGAAATGCCAAATCGCCACAGCTGTAGATCACCTGCTTGATGCTTTGCTTCCTTTTCACCCCCACGTCTCTGACCACAAGCTTTTTTATTTAAACATTCAATAAATAGTGCGGGTCTCCAGTGCTGGGGTTTTCGCATCCTTCTACTGGCTTCGGCCCCCTGGGAGCCCACCTTTATGCACTCTAACTTTTGTCTTTTAATGTCTTTGTCTCTGCTGACCCTCATTACTTCCTGGGTTGTGTCTGGACTGGTTCCCTGACAGTCCAGGCTGGTCTCCAGCTCTGGGCCTCAAGCAGTCCTCCCACCTCAGTCTTGCAAAATGCTGGGATTGCAGGTGTAAGCCACCACACCCAGCTGGTGTTCTGTAGCACTTTATAATTCCCTCATCATGGACCTTTTTTTTTTTTAACATTAGGAGAAAAGAGCTCAGAGTACGGTATACTCATTATTTTCTGCAGGCCCCTGGCTTGTTTTACGTATTTTACTCTTTCAATCCTCTTTCCTCACATAAGCACAAAGCATAGTGCTGCTTTGTGCATGTATGTGTAATTTTAATTTACAATAAAATAATTGTTTCATGTCTCAATTTATTTCTTACCTTTTTTACTTATCCTACTTTTTAAAGATATATTTATGTTGTTATTTATACATCTAGTTTCATTGGTTTCAACTGATGCATAATATTCCATAGTATGATTTGATCACATTTTACTTTTACGCTAGTGGAAGCCACCTAAATTGCCTCTAACTCTTTGCTACCTTTATGTCTTGATGAATGTCCTTATGTATGTCCCTTTACAGACCCATGGAGGATTTTCCTGATATACACCAAGGAGTGAAATATATAGAATGTGCATAACTTTTAGCTAAATAC